CAATTTTTGCATTATTGTTGTTGTTGTTGTTGTTTCCTAATTTACTAAACTCATTAACATTTTCTTTGTTTCCATCTCCTTGTTTTAACAAAGTGTCCTTCTTTAGAACTGACTCAAACGCATCTTGTTTGGTCTCTTCATTGGAAGTCACAGTCTGTCCGACCGTCTCTTTTATTTCGCATGCTCTCAAGGATTCAGTCATTTGAACTTTAGAGAATTCACACACCTCCTCCATTTCCTTCTTTTCAATTGGTGATTTAGAGGATCCACTGAACTGATCTGGAGTTGGCATACCAACATCTTTGAGCTGTTCATTTGTTTTCTCACTCATTTCTTTGATAGGCTTTGTCATCTGCTCAGAAACCAGCTCATTATTCAGAACCTGGAATTGTTCATTAGTTTTCTGTTGATTTTGCTCATTGGTCACTTGCTGATGTGGCTCACTTGTTGATTCATGGGTTTGCCCATTGATTTCTTGTTTGGCCTGTTCACTGATCAACTGATGCACCTGCTCACTGTGTTGTTCTTCAGTCTGGTTATTCAGTGGTGCAAAGCATTTTTGATTGACCTGGTCAGGATTTTCTTTACTGATTTGTTGCTGGGCCAATTCCCCAAAATGTTGTTGACTTTGTTCCCCAAAATGTTGCTGCATTTCTTCAGAGAACTGTTTTTGATTCTTGTCAAAAATGTCTTGTGGGAGTGGCTCATCAAACTGCTGTTTGGACTCTTCACCAAAATGTTCTTCAGTGGACTGCTTTGATGCTTGTCCATCACATTGAGTAGAGTCAGTAAATTTTGGTGAAGCCTGTTCAGTGAAATGCAGAGGAGATTTTTCACTTATTAGATCATGTTCTGCCTCACTCAAAGGATGAGGTGATTGTTCTCTGGATTGTTGTTTTGGCTGTTCCATAGACTGTTGAAAATGCTCAGAAGAATGTATTTTGTCTTGTTCATGGTGCTCTTCACACAAGTGAGATTGTGACTTTTCATGGAACTGGTCCTGCTGTGACTGATCACTAAATTGATGAGGGTCTTCATAGGCTGATTCACTGACTAGCTGCTTGCTAACTTGATCCTGGATGTGTTCAGTCACTTCTGGTTGCTGATTGATTTGTTCATGTACTTGCATTGGTTGTTGTTGTTCATTAAATTGTGGTTGTTGTTTGTCACTGACTGCTTCTTGGTGCTGATCACTAAACTTTTTTTGTGAGTGTTCACTAAATTCTTCCTCAAGTTGGTCCAAAACTTTTTCACAGGATTGCTCAGTAAAATGTTGTTGCCCACTAAAATCTGTTTGAAGCTGTTCAAATGTTTCATCATGTGACTGTTTTGTGGCTTTCTGGAACTGATCATTGAACTGTGTATGAGATTGCTCATTGACTTCTTCAGAGAACTTTCCAGTAAAATTTTCTGGATGTTCATGAAAGTCTGTTTGATGTTGACCAGTAATTTTTTCATGGGTTTGTTCAGAGAACTGCAATTGAGATGGTTCACTGGGTTTTTCATGGATTTGTTCAGTGAACTGCGGTTGAGATGGTTCACTGGGTTTATCATGGCTTTGTTCAGTGAACTGCAGTTGAGATGGTTCATTGGGTTTATCATGGCTTTGTTCAGTGAACTGCGGTTGAGATGGGTCACAGGTTTTTTCATGTGTTTGTTCAGTGAATGGCTGTTGAGATGGTTCACTGGTTTTTTCATGGGTTTGTTCAGCAAAATGCAGTTGAGATGATTCACTGGTTTTTTCATGGGATTGTTCAGTGAACTGTGGCTGGGATGTTTCACTGGTTTTTTCATGGGTTTGTTCAGTGAAAGGCTGTTGAGATAGTTCACTGTTTTTTTCATGTGTTTGTTCATTGACTTTTTCATGGGTTTGTTCAGGAAACTGTGGTTGGGATGGTTCACTGGTCTTTTCATGGGATGCTTCAGTAAACTGTGGTTGGGGTGGTTCACTGATTTTTTCATGGGATGCTTCAGTGAACTGTGGTTGGGATGCTTCACTGGTTTTTTCATGGGTTTGTTCAGGAAATTGCTGTTGGGATATTTCATTGATTTTTTCATGGGATTGCTCAGTGAACTTTGGTTGAGATGGTTCACTGGTTTTTTCATGGGATTGTTCAGTGAAATGTGGTTGTGATGGTTCACTGGGTTTTTCATGGTTTTTTTCAGGAAATTGTTGTTGGGATATTTCACTGGTTTTTTCAGTGAACTGCAGCTGAGATGGTTCACTGTTTTTTTCATGGGTTTGTTCAGTGAACTGTGGTTGAGATGGTTCACTGGTTTTTTCATGGGTTTGTTCAGGAAATTGCTGTTGGGATATTTCACTGGTTTTTTCATGGGTTTGTTCAGTGAACTGTGGTTGAGATGGTTCACTTGTTTTTTCATGAGTTTGTTCAGCGAACTGTGGTTGAGACGGTTCACTGGGTTTTTCATGGGTTTGTTCAGGAAATTGCTTTTGGGATATTTCACTGGTTTTTTCATGGGTTTGTTCTGAGAACTGTGGCTGCAATGTTTCACCAGGTTTTTCATGGGTTTGTTCAATGAACTGCAGTTGAGATATTTCACTGTTTTTTTCATGGGTTTGTTCAGAAAACTGCGGTTGGGATGGTTCATGTGATTTTTCATGGGCTTGTTCAGTGAACTGCGGTTGACATGGTTCACTTGTTTTTTCATGGGTTTGTTCAGGAAGCTGAGTTTGGGATAATTCTTTGGATTTTTCATGGGTTTGTTCAGTGAACTGTGGTGTAGACAGTTCGCTGGTTTTTTCATGAGTTTGTTCAGAAAACTGCAGTTGGATTGGTTCACTGGTTTTTTCATGGGTTTGTTCAGTGAACTTCGGTTGGGATGTTTCACTGGTTTTTTCAGGGGTTTGTTCAGTGAACTGCAGTTGGGATATTTCACTGGTTTTTTCATGGGTTTGTTCAGGGAACTGTGGCTGGGACGTTTCACTGTTTTTTTCCTGGGTTTGTTCAGTGAACTGTGGTTGGGATGGTTCACTGGTTTTTTCATGGGTTTGTTCAGTGAACTGCGGTTGGGATGTTTCACTGGTTTTTTCATGGGTTTGTTCAGTGAACTGTGGTTGGGATGTTTCACTGTTTTTTTCAGGGGTTTGTTCAGTGAACTGTGGTTGGGATGGTTCATGGGATTTTTCATGGGTTTGTTCAGTGAACTGCGGTTGGGATGTTTCACTGGTTTTTTCAGGGGTTTTTTCAGTGAACTGCGGTTGGGATATTTCACTGTTTTTTTCATGGGTTTGTTCAGGGAACTGTGGCTGGGATGTTTCACTGGTTTTTTCATGGGTTTGTTCAGTGAACTGTGGTTGGGATGGTTCACTGGTTTTTTCATGGGTTTGTTCAGTGAACTGCGGTTGGGATGTTTCACTGGTTTTTTCATGGGTTTGTTCAGTGAACTGTGGTTGAGATGGTTCACTGGTTTTTTCATCGGTTTGTTCAGTGAACTGCGGTTGGGATGTTTCACTGGTTTTTTCATGGGTTTGTTCAGTGAACTGTGGTTGAGATGGTTCACTGGTTTTTTGAATGGTTGGGATGTTTCATTTTTTCAGGGAACTGTGGCTGGGATGTTTCACTGGTTTTTTCATGGGTTTGTTCAGTGAACTGCAGTTGGGATATTTCACTGGTTTTTTCATGGGTTTGTTCAGGGAACTGTGGCTGGGATGTTTCACTGGTTTTTTCATGGGTTTGTTCAGTGAACTGTGGTTGAGATGGTTCACTGTTTTTTTCATGGGTTTGTTCAGTGAACTGCGGTTGGGATGTTTCACTGGTTTTTTCGTGGGTTTGTTCAGGGAACTGTGGCTGGGATGTTTCACTCGTTTTTTCATGGGTTTGTTCAGTGAACTGTGGTTGGGATGGTTCACTGGTTTTTTCATGGGTTTGTTCATTGGATTCTGGTTGAGGTGGTTCATTGTTTTTTTCATGGGTTTGTTCAGGAACCTGCGGTTGGGATGGTTCATGGGTGTGTTCAGTGGATTGTATTTGAGATGTCTCCTTATCTTTTCCATGTGATTGTTCAGGGGACTGGTGTTGAGTTGACTCACTAATTTTTTCATTGTGTTTTTCAGACACTTGTTGAGGTGGCTCATTCATGTTATCTTGGCTTTGTTGACTTAGCTGTGCTTGAAACTGATCGCTGATTTTTTCCTGTGGTTGTTCATTGAAATCTGTTTGAGGTTGGCTAAATATTTCATTAGTTTGTTCTGCAATCTGGGGTTGAGATGATTCACTGATCTTTTCATAGGGTTGTTCAGTGAAATGTGGTTGAAATGGTTCACTGGCTTTTGCATTTGTTTCTTCAGTGAACTGTTCATCAGGTTTCTCTGTGGTTTTTTCATTGATCTTTTCATTCAACTCTTTTTGGGATTGTTCAGTGATTTGTTCATCAGCAATTTTACTAACCTGCTCATGAACTAAATCACTGCTGGGCTGATGGACCTGTTCACTGATTGGCTCATGAACTTGCTGAGAAATATTTTCTTGAGTTTGTTGATTGGCTTGTTGCAGGGACTGTTCATTGATCTGTTGTGAGACTGGCTCTTGAATGTGTTCACTACACTTGCCAGAAAAAGATTCATCAATCTGTTGGGATATTTGTTCTTTGATTTTGTCACCATTACCAGTTTCTTGCTGTTCAACTATTTTGCTTTCTTGGCTGAATTCTTGTTTGTGTGCTTCCATCACTTCTTCTTGTGGTTGTTCTCCAAGTTGTTCTGCTGGCTGGATAGTAATTCCTTCTTTTGGTAGCTCACTGAATTGTTCCTTAGGCAGTTCACTGAATTGCTCTTTTGGCAATTCACTGAACTGCTGTGGAGAACATTCATTGAATTGTTGTTGAGGCGCTTCCTTGCATGTCTCAGAAACAGATTTGTCATACTGCACATTATTATTTAATTCATTTAATTGATCTTTGGGGGAATCATTGAATTTCTCATAACTAATTTCCTCTTGAAATGATTCACGGAGTTTATCCGTGTTACTTTCACTCATTACCTCATGTGGAGGCTGACTCATCTCTTCCTTGAGTGCATCTTCTGTGTTTTCTGTTCCTAAGGATTCCGTCTCTTCACTGGGAGAAGCTGCAACAACTGTTTGTTCAGGAGGCGGAACTTGGATCTCATCTTTCTCCTGTAAATGTTAGGGGTTAGTAAAGATTAGTATCAAGTGTTAGTAAATTCTTGAAAGAACAGTTATTCAAATCAACAAATATAATAGCAAAAGAAGAAGAAAGATTAGCAAAAAACAAACAAACAAATAAATGTAAAAAAAATACCAATTCTTTACTTAAAAACAAACTGCAAAAAAGAGCCAATTTATATTTTAATAACAGTTTTAGGCTTTTATAGTAAATGTTTTCACTTGACTACTGTTTACCAAGCCTACAGCCCTGAAAGCAAACAAGAACTTGAATAAAACAGTTAACTAAATGGAACTGTCTGAATTTCTGGGGTGAGGAGTTAAAGTGTAAATAAATGAATAAACCTACATGTGCAGATCTGATAATTACAGTTGCAAAGAATGAACTGAAAGAAGACCTGCAAATAATGATTAATAATTTAAATAAGATAACCTCACCTACTTGATCCAAATTCAATAAGCAATGATATTGAAACTAATTTTACTGTTAACAGTAGATAAAGTAGTAACAATAGTTCAATTACAGCGATCTGGTTGCTTAACGAGGCCTGAGGTGTACTTGTCAAGATATTGTGCTGAGATTGCATCACTATTTTAATTAATTAGGCTTATGCCACTTAGTCAACTGTTTTATTTAAGCTTTTTTCTTCATTCAAGATTGAGTGCTGAGTAAATTGTAGTCAAGCTAATGTTTGTATAATATTATCTGGGAAATTGTTTTTTAACCTTTTTTTTAATACTTTCTTAAATATGATATCATGAAAAAAAGCTTTTTTCAATATGTAATCCTTAGAGTATTCATTTCCAGTGTATTTTATGTGTTACCGTTATTATTATTATTATGCTATTCAATTTACATGTTATTAGACATCTTTTATTATATTATTTATTATCTTTTATTATATTTTTTAAAATGTTCAATATTAAGAATGAAACTATGTAAATCTAAGTTAAATGTCACTTAATACAAAAAATATCTAGTTTAACATGATCCAATAGAAATGACATAAAAGCCATTCCATGTTTTGGTCCAATTTGTAATTCCCTGACACACAAAGTTTTATTGGCACAATTAAGATATTTATCCAGATATTATTATTTAATATTTGTTTGCAACACTGGTAAAAAGTTTAAATGTGCCTTTACTAAAGTCTGAAAAGACACTAGTAAAGGCACATTTTCTTAATAACAATAAAACTAATTTGTTTGTAGCTGATTAGTCACTCCAAGAAATGTGCACTTAATTCCCTGACAATATACAAGGCCACACTTAGTTGAGTTTTGTAATCATGCTAAGAATTTGTTTTTCTTTTGTTTTTAACATCATTTAAATATTTTAATATCATTTATGAAGTTAACTGATTTCATTAGAATTATTTCTGTATGAGAATAGCAGAAAAAATATTTATGAACTTTGGCACAAGTGTTAAAACTTGCTATATTTCACCCTCCATTAATGATCACAATACATTCTTTGTAAATTTTTGATAAATGGTCTATTGTGGCAAATTATTCAACTGCAAACTACAAGAAGCAATAATGTTAAAAAGACAGGTAACAAAAAAAATCTACATTACCATTATTATCGGAGATTAAAACAAAAACATGTTTGGTACCATTGCCTGAGGAGACACATTTGTAGTCGAAACATGATTGCTATTGTGTAGTGATTTTTAACATGTATTTGTTTTTTATCTCCTATAAAAAAAAAATAATATTTAGCTCTACTCTGTATTGAGCCCTCTTTTAAATTAAATGTTACAGACAGTGCAATTATACTCCATTTGTTCTTATCTTACCTGGATATACATAAATTTTTTAAGGTAGCAAATTTTTATTTATCAATCTGACAGATTTTTATCACTTTAAACATTATATTTTTCTTTAAGGAAATTTCCCAAATATTCAGGCCCGTAGATGAAAATAAAAAAACATACTGTTTAATAACATAAAATATGAGTACACACTAAAAATGACATTTAAAGTGATATATATCTATATATATCTATATCTATCTATATATCTATATATATATATATATATATATATATATATATATATATATATATATAATAACTTTTTATAATCCATAGCCAAAAAAATAGTTTAAATACCCTACAAAAAAAAAAACCCTTTATGAAGTCGTCAAAAAACAAAAGTTATGGCAGTTTTTATATGCACAAATCCCTTTCATAAAGAAATAAAATAAAAAAATAAATAAATCTCTGTAGACAGGTAAGCAAGACTAGGCTAAAACATCTTCTGTTTCAAATTTAGACACACCCACCTTACCCTGACTTGACATCTATGAAAGTAACTCTATACTGATACTTATTATTAACACCCAACACATGCCTACCCAATTTAAACAATTCGCCCTAGCTGTTACCATGGAAATTTTGATTTCAATTATTAAAACACGTAAATTTCTGAAATAAGTTATTCCAAAAAGAATTTCGCTTGAAGATGGAACAGAGCTTACTTTAACTCAATTTAATTCAAATAATTATATTGAAGTTATCGGCTCTTGTTTTGAAACATGAGACCTCTTATGTTGCGAGTTGAAATCATATTTTTAAATAAATAATTATATTTATGCTCTACATTTGTATCGAGCACTATTTTTTAAAAATAATAACTTAAATACTAAAGAACTTTGGATCTATCTAACCAGTTCTTTCCTATTTTCTATATATTTTCACAAATATATATATATATATATGTTTAGGCAAAAATATTAATTCCAAAAAGTTCAATTGACAAGACTTTTCTGTTTAGTTATGTTATTGTATTTTTTTAATTTTCAAATAAGATGATGTATATTGGGATTGAAATTTGTGGATAAATCGTTTGATGTTCACTTTTACACATGTTTTGTTCAAGTTTTTTCAACTGCTTCAGTTATTATCATGAACAACATGTCACAAGTAAGTTTTTGTTGTTTTTAAGTTTCCTATTGGCTTTGCTTCAACACTTTGCTTAAGAGTTTGGCTTTGTTGTTGTCTCTACTTTTAATGATTTCAGCCTTATATAAAGCTCCTAAGTCTGGGGGTAATTTGTGATGGGTCTAGTCTAACCAGGGAAGGGTGCCACAGGAAGCAACCCCAATTAAGTTGTCATAGGATTTAGGAAGATATATTTTTTCTTTAAATTGTTAAGCTTTTTTTTTTAATTGTTATTTTGTGTTATTATTATGTATGTTTGTCTTGTCTGGTTTTTGCATGACCACATGCTGAAAGTGCTCTCCTGACTGAGAAAAAACTGGTGTTATATAACTTCTCCCAGTCCCAGACCCATGCTGACTATTGGCTAATTTTTTCAGTGTCCCCTACTGTAAGTAAAAAGGCTTTTCTCAACAGTCCATTGTGGAAGAGGACATAACTCCTGGAGCTTACAGCACCACATGCAATCAACTCTGAGTCTCTTATCAGGTTGACCCAATTCTCTGTTACACTATACAAAATGAACAACTCACATTAAATATCTTTCAGCCCAAGAGATGGTATCTTAAAGTGGGTATAAAATATCAAAATATTTAAGAAGTGTAGACAATAATAATACTATACATAATATGCAATATATGATTTTTTTGGTGCAGTCTCACTCACTTTAACCATTAAATATGACATCACTTCAGACTGGTTCAAAATTTCAGATCTAGGATGTAGGCAATAGAACTTTTTCCTACTTCACTGACAGCACGTGGTTCTTCATAATGGTTTATGTACAATTTCAACCCTAACATGTGTTTTTACATTCATTTTACACTGAATCAATATTTTGAACTGGATCCTTCTAAAATGATAAAAAAGTCAATATTTTTTGTTCTGACAAATGTCGCACCTTCAGGGAGGTCTAATGAATGTTAAAGTAGAAAAATGATTTCCAAAAACATTTTTCTCTATTTCTCCAAAACTCAAATGGCTCCAAGTTTGGTATGTAATGTGTCATTTTTTTCTGTATGATAATTCCTAGTTTAATTGTAGTAAAACAACAATTTTACTAATGTTGAATCAGTCAAGAACAATAGAAACTTTATTGCTGCTTGCTTATTCACCAGACCTTTTTGTTATAGATAACTATTTCTCAAGCATCTTGATCACTTCTTATAGACAGAAAAACGGGATGAATAAAAGTATTCTGATTGAATAAATAATTTTTCTTTTTTTACTTTTTATTGATTTTGTTTAAATAAATTGCTAATTTCGTATCATTATATATATATATATATATATATATATATAAAAAATTGTATCTTTGGGCAGCAATCCCACTTTTATACAAGTTTCACTAAAGATAACTTACAAAGTACTGCGATTAGACTTTTAATAAATTTTTCTTGTATTCGTACAAGTGTTTTGTATTTCTGGACATAAGGTATGTAAAAAATATCCAAATATGAGCATTTTCAGCTATTCTATTAGCCATTGTCAAGGATTTTTATTTTTTATCTTTAACTGAATATATAGATTTTTATATGTGTATCTATAGTGATGGGAATTTTTATTTTATTTTCCAAACATGGTTATCACATTGTGGCCATGTTCAGAGTTCATATGATTGAGTGTTGGCCTTTTCTTTTTTTATTATTAATGCTTCCATTATTTTTATCCTTTTTTTCATGTGGATAAAACCGTTATACTAAACTCCATCTGGAACATTTGTAGAAAATATGTAATAATAGGTTCATCCACATATAAAAAATGGCTAAAAATAATATATATATATATAAAAACTATTTTTAACATTGTGTGCTCAACATATCCACATGTTTGGCAACAGAGTGCTAAGCTGTAGGGTTTACTCATAATACCTCATTATACCTGTTGTTTCATGTTGAACAGAAAATAATAAAATCCTGCTGTGTTTGATTGAGAAGAAAATTTACATTTTAAAGACGTAAAAGAGTTATACTACTTTACGAGTAATACTGACAAAAAAGTCTTCTAATTCGATATATTTCATTTTGATTAGCAGAAAAATAATATTTT